TGCAGCTACTGCTGCCTGTGGACTCACGTGACGCCATGTGCGTTTCACCACCAGGCGGGCCCAGTGGCAACAGGCACGTGATATTGTGCCACTCCTGGAGCAGCTGCAGCAGCGCGCAAAGCACAGTGGCAGCCACGTCTGCCCCGCATTCAGATTGCCAGGCTTTGCACAGCAGCAGGAGCCTCCCCACGCCCCTGGACAAACCACCCAGGCTCTGATCATCCCACCACCCACCCAGGGCCTCATTCACCCCAGCCCCTGCCCCTGCTTATGCCCTGCTCCCTCCCTCCCTGCGGGGGCCTCGATCTCCCCCCCAGCCCCTTCCCTTTCACAGTGTAGATTGATACTTGCCTGCCGTGCTGGGCACCCAGTGATCAACACGCCAGGCTGTGATCCTGGCTGTGTGCGTGCCCATCTCCACCCCTGCTGCAGCCGCCCAGCTGTGGGCTCTGGGCTGCCTTACAGCCCTACCCTCTGCCCCACATTTGGGGGGATAGAGCACCCTTAGCCCCGGCGTTCTGTCACCTGTGGTGTTCTGGCACACGCCCATAGGAAAAAAATTAGAATATATTTTTGGACATTGAGCACTCCTTTTGGAAGAATCTGTCTCCTCTGACTGCTGTTTGGGTTGTGTTTAGAACCTAATGTTTCACCTGAAATACATTTTTACAGCAGTTTGTTTTATTAGCTATAAACGGTTCTGTGTTGTCACCCCAAACAGATTATTTCTGCAGAAATAAATGATGCTTTCTCCAAGCCTTAAAAGGAAAAAAGGATAAGGGGCAACGGGTCAGTTGTTTTGTTCAGAGAAATCTCAGTAAAAAACAACCACAGAAAACTGAACCCCAGGACATACAGCTAGAACTGAAGGACTTGCTACCACCTGATACCACAGTTGCTGATGTCTCAGAAGATACCTGAAGACCCACACAATCATAGAGCGCCTCTGAAACTAACTGAATATTGTTAGTTAGATCATGCATATGTTTTTGAAAATTCTCTATTTTGTCCATGCTGTTTTATTAATTGATATCTTTTGGCTATAGGAGGAAGATGTAAGGGTCTGCATCTTTTAGAGAGGCAAGAGCCATTTGAAACTAGTTGTTGGGCTCTAAAGTTTCTCACGTTACACAATGTTAATCAGTCAGATGGTAAATAAAAAAGGCCTTTTCAGGTCTGAGTGATTTCTATACAGAGGAGTTTTGATCTGAGGCTTCTGAGAAGGATGATAATGAAGAGAAGCCAAGGTATTCTTTTTATTTTGTACTACTTTTTACCCTGGAGCACAAATGGCTAAGTTATGGCCACATGTACTTTCTGGAGTTTGTCTTCTCAGAGGCATCTGGGTAAGAGAAGACATTATCCCCCCAATGTCCAGGTGATTTGGAGAGGAGGAGAACATGAAGGAAAGGGAACTGTGATAGGATGGTCTGACTGTAAAGCATTCACCTGAGTTTGAAGTCCTTTGTCCATCTTTGCCACAAACTAACTGTGCAACTTCAGGCAAATTATACTTTTCTGTGCTTTAATTTACCCATTACAAAAGGGATGGTAGAGCTACCTCTAACCTGAAGGTGCACTGGTGTGGTGGGAGAAACCTCCCTAAGGTTCGTTGTCTAGCTGTAATTTGATTGACAGACAACGCGGGTAAAGAAAGACAGCTGTTTATTTGTTCGAGCAAAGACCATAAAGCCAGCAAAAGGCAAAATGGCCCCCCCCTAAGGGTGAGGTGATCTTTTATACTTATTATAACAAGGCAAGACTTTATGGTTAACAAAAAAAAGCAATACTTGGGCGGTGCTTTTCAAATCTTTGTAACAGCATATTTTTATTAAGCTGAACTAGCACTTTTTTAAAAGCTAAAAGTTAAGTAACAGTAACATTATAATCTGTTAGCAAAACCTTACACAGTAGTAGATACTTCTCAAGGACACAACCAGTGCACCCAGAACAATGGTTTCCCTGTCTTATCTTACTTCTTGCTGTAGCTGATTTTTCAGCACACAGACACAGAGATACTTGCTGCTTTTAACTCAGAAAATGCTTAATACAGTTAAAATGATTACTTGACACAAGCAAAGGCTTAGCTATCAATCTGCCTTGTGGTCAGCTGCATTGCTAGGCCACAGGTCATGCCTTGTATTCAGCTGTAAAGCTAATACTTCTTAATAATCTAAATTATTGTAAACCTAACAGTATGCTTATCAGAAAACTGTTTTATTTCAGGGTAATAACAAACCTGCGCACTACACTGGGGTCCTGAGGTTTAATTTGGTAATATTTGTGAAGCATGTGGAGATCTGAAGAGAAATTACTCCTTTCTTAAGAGTTATGATGGCTATACTTTAGTTTCAGTGTGGAATTCTTGCTAACATTTTAGGATGATGTTTAAACTGGCTGGCTTTTCTCCTTGGTGGGGCAAAGGCAAGTCTCTTGGGAAATGTACTCTTAAGACTGAGCCTGGAGACGCTGCTGAATCTGTTTACAAAAGTAGATTGCAATTGTTCTGGGCCCTGCTCCATGAAAACTTCACCTCCACCCTTTCCTTTGCCTTCAGACAGTGAGCGATGTATAACTTCAGTCCACTGCTTCAGCCTCAGTGTCAGCCCCCTCCCCCTCTCCTTCTCCCTCTCCCTCCCTCAGGTCTGGTTGTAATGAGCCAATGATTGGGCTGGATCTTGAATCAGTCTCTTTCCTAGGTTTGCACTAACAGTAGATGATTAACTGTCTAGCAGCAGTAAGCTATGCGGTATATTTCGTGAAGCTAGCTGACTCAGGCTTCCTTGCTTACAGGGCTTGGATCTGAAGATTTTTGTTTTATTTCCTCCCTGCCTGTTCATTCTTGTGGGTCACTTTTCTGTTTCTCAGTTTATCTAGTAATGCTTTTGTGGATGAATCTTTAGGTTACAGATGGATTACAGAAGTAACTACTGGGAATTTGGTGGTTTTTGTGTTGGGAAACATCAGGGCTGTGGCTCAGTTGATGTCACAGTTGTGTCATTTGTTATTCTGTTGCTACCAACTAAGGGGAGGCAACCCTGGAAATTCATGGCAATGCCCTAAACTCTGTAGATTTTGATTCATTCTGTGAAATGTATTCTTTAAGCCCAAATGTATGATTTGTAAAGTCTGCATCCAGCCAAATAGAAACAGTAGTATCAACAAAGTTATGAAGTTCTCCCATTTATTTCAGTATGGTAATGACAATGAACTCTTATTTAATTGTTATCACTATATGATGTGATCAGACAAGGTTTTTTGGGTAAATCTGAGATCTTTTATTAGACCAACTCAGATAGTTGGAAAAATTCTTCTTAGTAAGCTTTTGGGTATAAATATCCTAGATTTTTCCAACTATTTGCATTGGTCTAATAAAAGATACCAGATTTACCCAAAGAACCTTATCTGTCTATGTCCTTAGACCAAAACAGCTACAACCTATACCACTATATGATGTAGCATTTATAATGCTATCCTGGTCAGGGGATCCACCAGGGTAAGGGCCCTTGGACAGCCTTGTGGAGGAAGATATGGTCTCTGCTCCAAAGGTCTTACAATCTACCATTTAAATATGACTGTGGTTAGGATTTTTGTAGGTGATACCTTTTATTGGACCAACTTTTACCATGGTTAGCCATTTCACTACTGTTTCTCCTTCAAAAACAGGCAACTCGTTACCTTATTTAAGGTGGCCAGAAAGTACCAGTTACAGTTTTTAATGTTTTTTCCAGTAATTTGAAAAGGAATCTTGGAGAAAGAGGACTGCAAGTCGGACTATGCAGCTAGCTGAATAGTCCATCAGGGATTCTCTACATTAGACAAATAAGATATTCATGCAATTCAAAGGTTAGAGAAAATAGAAATAATTTGCAATCCTGTCTTAAAAGATCTTGCACTGCTACAAGCAGCTTGTAGGATGTTGTGGGATACTCTAAAATGTGTTCCTACAACAGCCGCTTGCTATTTTTTAGAGCTCAGTTCTTTCAACCATCTCTGTCTTATAATACTGTTTGGTTAAAAATATTGGAAAAACAGCTGATAACCCAGAACAGCCTGTTGGTTAATCCAGCATGGGAAGAATTGTTACATGGTGCTGTGTTGCTGTAGTAGCCAGTTTCCCCCACACACTGCATAATAAAAAAAAAAAAAATGGGGAAAGGTGGGGTATAAGCTGCTTTGTTTGGGTTTTTTTCACTGTGTTCCAGCTGCTGAAGGTGCCCTGTGGGAAACTGGGTGTAATGTTAGAGTTGTGTGTATGTACATGCAATCATTTACCTTTCTTGCCAACCCATGATGGATGGGCTCAAGATGTCTCAAAAAGCTTTAGAGATGAAGTTTGATTAGGCTCAACTCTCATTCTAAGTAGAAAGTGGGGGGCTTTAAATGTGAAATATTGTAATTTTTTCAGCAGACGCAATTTAGTGTCAATCCTGTTTGCTCTGTGTCAGGGAGGCTCATTTCATCTTTATCTGATTGGGGCTTGCCTGTGTGGAGGTCTGAATAATACCCTTAACTTAACCATAACGAGTTGCCCAGCTTTCATGTGGGTTCTGAACTGGACTTAACATATTAGACCTTTAGGCTGTACCTTTCTGAGTCGTTGCACAAACTTTTAATGTCATAGATGACTGTTTCTTAAATGATGCCTGCTTAGTTTCCACTTAGTTAGGTAAGCTTTTTAGAACAAATCTGTATTCGTTGTTCATCTTGGGCTGTATTCATCTGTGAGAGTCAAGGCAAGCTTATCTGCCAGTTCCCTCCCTGTTGTATCTCTGAGTTCTTGTACTTTCCATTATGATTGTCAGTGTCGCAGATCACTGAGGTGCCCTGCTTCTAAGGAGGAGAAACTGCTAGGGAAGGGACCCTAGTAGTGAGTGAATAAGGAGCCCAGCTGTGGGTTGCTGGGGCAACCAGGGAAGGTCAGCTGACCGGAAGGGGCAGGGCCCGGCCCTTATAAAGCCCAGGGGCTGAGGCCAGGCTAGTAGTTCCCTGCCAGCTGCCAAAGAGGAAGGAGCTCTCTCATGGAAGGGATGGAGTATTTCCTGGTAGGCTTGGGCATTGTTATGGCCGATTGGCTTGTATTTTGAGTTGTCGTTTATGACCGGTGGTTTGGGTGAGGCTATTAGGGGTTGGAGAAGGCCTCATAGGGGACCCACAGTAGTGTGGGAACCCCAGCACCAGGAGAAGGCGCAGCATTTGGGGTGCACAAACCCCAGCCCCAGAGGGGCGGTTGAGAAGCCCTAGTGCGGGCGTGGCGAGCCCCAGAGAGGGGCATTACTGAGAAGCCCCAGTGCGGGTGTGGTGAACCCTGAGGAAGGGCGTAGCATTGTGGTGAACCCTGAGGAAGGGGACAGTATTACTAAGGACGCCCCAGAGAGGGTGGCTCTGTAGAGGAGCCCTGAGAGAAGGGGCAGCGCGATAGTGAAGGCCCCAGAGGAGGACAGCGCGATAGTGAAGGCCCCAGAGGAGGACGGCAAAACTGAAGAGGGGCAGCAGTGTGGAGAAGGGCGCAGAGAGAGACAGGGCCACGAAGGGCCCGAGCACCTGAGAGATTGTAGACCTGGACAGAACAACGTCCATTCTAGCTGCAAGGCTTGGGGCGTGGTGAAAGGGGTGGTAGGAGCCATGCGTAGTCCCTAAGGCTAGGGTGCCCTGGACGCACCCATTTGTAGAGCAGGACCCACGTGGGGTTTGGGAGTCCACAGGGCAGAGACTACAGCAAGACGTGCCCAAGAGGGCGGAAAAGGTAGCCTCCCTAACATATTTTAACATCAAAGACGTGGCGGGCAAGAAATCGAGGATGCCCTTGGGCCAACTTGGCACGGGAAGGGGCCTTAAGGAGATCACGGCCCTCCTGTAGGACCCCGCCTGTGACAGTCAGCTTTAGACAAACTAAGCACTAATCCCTGAACGTCCATCACGTACTGTGCCTTATCAGGTTAACTGTCAGAATACCACTTCTTTTTCCTGCTCCTGTGTCAGTGATCAGGAAGAACTAGAGAGACAGCTAAAAAGGGAAGGCATGAGTTGGAGAGTGCTCACTTGGTCTCTTGTGATAGACCGAGGTTAACCACAATAAGGCTGAATGGCCAAGAAGAGGACTTCTCTGTTGGGAGGTGGTAGAGCAGAAAAGAAATAGCATGTGGAGTGTTCCTTTTCAGTAAACTAATACCTGATTACCTTTCCTCCTCTTCTCTGCAATATATCTATACTGTGCGAATCCAGAAGCAGTGTGGCTAGGTTCAATAAAAATTTAAAAAAAAACCGACCAGACAGGGAATTTATTTTTTTTTAAGTTCAGTTAGAAGGGCAGGGGCGATCAGTTTGTTTTCTATATAGGTTCTTATATCAGCCTCATCGTTGGAGTATGGAACAGCTTTCCAGTAGTACATTAAGTTACATACCAAATATCTGTCTCTTACAGTTGGGTCTTTTTCTGTCAGTCTCTCCCTGGGGGGATAATAGCAAATGCAGTTCAGGAGTTTTGTTTCGTTTTTAATGTACCTGTCTCTGTCCTATATTAAATAAAACAGGCCAAGAAGCATGCCTTGCACTTAAAACAAGAAATGGAAAGGCTTAGTTCTTGGGAGGGCTTATTCCTCAGTCTTAGACTAGCCCCTGAGAAAACTGCCTCCTGCAAAAATGAGCTTTACCTTTCAAAAGAAAGTCCACATTTTGCTGCAGGAAAGCATTGACTCTGGGCCTCATCCCAGAGCAGAACAGATGGAGTTTTGTATGCTGGGCACAAGGCACTTGGGGCCTTGCACATAAAGACCTTGAGTTAGACTCAGTGCTCTATGGAAAGCTGGTAGCGATGGAAACAGAGGCGTAATAAGCTTGAGGTATAGTCTGTGCTCCTGAGGAAGTTCAGTGTTCTGTAGTAGCTGGAGTTCCCTAAGCCCTGGGAACTTCATGTACAAATATATCACATTTCTGTAGTAGGGATAGATAGTGAAAGAAAGGCATGTATAATTGAGACCAGGTGATCATCTGCTAGAGGAGCAGGAGTCTCCTAGCAAACTGACAATGATAGGAGTTACAGGTGCTGCTGTGTGACAGTTTAGCATCTGCAAAGCATCTAGAAACCTTCCTAAACCAGGGGCTGCATCCTTTGCCCACCAGCATAAAACTATTATGTTGCCCATCTCAGCTGTCTGTTCTTTCTCAGTTAGAGTGATCTTCTCCAAACACTGTGACATCTTGGTAATGGTGATGTAGTTTATATGTGGAAAAGGCAGCAGCATAGGGGCACAGCTGTGTACTAGGAACACAGGGGAAGTGGTGACTTCTAGCTGCTGCCACAATCACAACTGTGATTATGCAGCTGCCAGCAGTAGCAGTTCTTTTGTTTGTTTTTTTTAATCCCGCCCCCTTGCAACTAGCTGCCTGGGGCAGTTGCCCCATTTGCCTTGTCCTAGTTACACCACTGGATAAAGGATAGGAACAGTTGCCTATTTTTTACATATTACCAATACTTGTTTCCATCTCATCTTTCCTGTTCCCCTATTGGCTGTACCTTAAAGGAAAAACGTATCTCCTTCTCCTTATGTAAAGAGGTTTCCCCAAGTAAAAGATTATGAAGGATTACACCACTTCCCTAACTGAGGCATGTGGGCATTTGGAAAAGAATGCAATTGCATTACCATGTAAATTCAGTTCTTGGATCTAGCATGGTTTGACTAGGCAGTGGGAATGGGGCCAAACCCATGAGTTTGAATTTATTTTTAAGACATTTGGTGCCATCCAAATGCCATCCATATGTGTCATATTATAACCTTCTTCAGCAACAAAATGCTTAAGAACAGTTGCTGAACTCAGTTCCTTAACCATTGTACAGAGTATGAGGACCAGATCATGAGAGGGAAGCAGGCCTGCTAATTGTAAAGTGGCAAATATTAAGTCTAGCTACAATGAGCTACACCCCCCTTATATCACGTGCCTCATTTCCTCAGTCGTAAATCTGAGCCCTTGTTACCACAAAGGGATGGTCAAAAGGCATTTAAGATGGTCATTCTGGTTATACAACTGTCCAAAAAATCTTTCAGCTAAAATCTTTGATTATGAAGAAGTAGGCCCAGCTTGAAATACAGGCTGGAAGATTCTGTAAAGATGAAGGCTTATCGTATTATCACCCACGAAATTGTCCACATTGCTCTTCAGGAAGCTGCACACTAAAATGGTGCAAGTAGCAGACTTGCTGATCCATCTAGCAGATTTGTTGATTGTGTGAGTATGAACCGAGTACTCTGTACCCAAGAGAATAGGCCATAAGAGCCATGACTGGTGAGTACCAATAGGGAACACGAGCTACAGAGCTATGGAGCTAACAGAAAGGGAGAACCCACTGAAATTAATGCTTTATAGGAAAAAAAGGTCCTTAAATGCTGCAGGCATTACTGTTCTTGAAATAACAACAAGAAAACGTACTTGTAAAGCAAAAGTTAAGGCTGGGTCAGCTGCAGTGAGCAGTCAGTCTGCTTCCCCAGTCCTTGGATTACTGAGTGCACCATTGACCCCCAAAATAATTTAGAACAGCCTATGGTCTAGTTCAGGCCTTTGCTGCAGCTGGCATAGTGTCTTGTCATTCCTCTGTGCCCTTGGCCCCAACTCTTCCACCACCTCCTGTAAGGCAAGGAGAGAGAAGCAAGCCATGTAGAGGTGTATTGGTGGCCCCTGAGGATTCATTTTGCGTTCGATCCCGTCCCCTACCCACCAGTGCCCTGACCTTAGCCCATAGCCTAAGCTGACCTTGCAGTACATATAGGCGCACACACAACTGTAATGAGTTAATATGCTGTAGCTCTGAAAAATTCCAGAGCTGCACATGATTTGGGGACAGGAGTAAAATGTGGCTTTTCTGTCTACACTGCAAAACCAAGGTACATTCATAGTATGTCCCTGATATAATTTAAAAGTTTGTCGCCCTGCGCTGCTCTGTAGGAACTGGTACATATTTCATTCCCTTTGAGTACAAACCAGAACTTCGCCATTACAACACTATTAATGCAACTGGCTTTTTTTTTTTTTTTGTTTAAATAATTGTACCATTAATATATTGCCACAATGCCTTCCTCATAAAAGGCTATACAGGCCAGGAAGAGACTGTGTTTGTCTGTTTTGGCTGAGGGCAGGAGTCCAGACCTGTGTTTTCTAGTGGCAATCTATCTTGTATCTTTTCATTCCAAATTATGAGCCAGTTTCCTGGAATTGATGTGCATAAAATCCTTCCAGGTTTTCAAATATTGATTATGTAGGTATGGTGTGGATAAGTATAGTATGGATTGTGAGGTGTTCAGTTGCTGTTTTGATGAGAGCCATTGTAAGCACTATAAATAGTGAACTATTCTGGTTTAGCATTTCAGTTGACACCATTGACCATAACTTGATTATTTGAAATGATGTTCCACCAGAAAAATGTTGCAAATTTTAAATAAACAGATCTTTAGGAGGCTTTAAGGACTTCCCTCTCCCAGGTAGGGTGGCCAGCTGTCCTTTCATGGCCAATTTTTCAGGTTTAGGAACCTATTCTGAAGTCCCAGCCATGTTGTATTGAAAGTGGGATCCTATTGTGAATGTTAGTATAGTACATTGTCTAGCTTCTGTTTTTCATTAGTTCATGCTGCACACTTCTCCCCCTTGTATCATATCAATGGTAAACATCTCCATCCACTTGCATACCTATTTTGTGGTCTTAGGACAGGGGTGGGCAATTATTTGGGCTGGGGGGGCGGGGCACTTAAGGAGTTTTGGTGAGCTGTTGCAGACCAAATCAGCACTTCCTCCCCCTGCAGCAGCTCACCAAAGCTCCCTAAGTGGTAGATTACTAGACCAGTCTGGGGGCACCAGACGAAGTAGTCGGGTGGGCTGGGTCTCCATGAAGTCTGGCTCGGGATCCCCATGGCCAGGGCACGCTTGGCTGGGCGGATGGGACGGGATGGGGATGCGGGTAGGTGGGAAGCAGCAGATCTAGGAGTGGAATGGGGAGGCGGGGCCAGGGCCAGGATTGCAGGGCGGTGACAGTGTAGGACCTGAGGAAGAGCCCCGATTTGCTCTTGGGACATTCCCAGCCCCGGCCCTCGCCCTGGCCTTGGCCCCACGCACCCATCCAGCTCCTAGACACTGCTCCTGACCCCACCTACCTGTCCCCCCTCCTGGATGCTGCTTCTCACCCGCCCATGAAATATTCTATGTGCAAGGAATTTTACTACAATGTTACCCAAAAAAGGACATTTTTTTTGCTATGAGAGGAGGAAGGCAGGTAGAAAACGGCTTCAATCTTACAGTAAGCTGTTCCTCTTTAAAGGCAAACAGATTGAGTATTTAATGGCTGTGAACCAAAAACCTTTTAGTTCTATTTGAGAGTTATGCTTTGTTTACATTTTCATGTTGATAAAAGGACTCTCTTCTCATGCCTTCTTTTAATAAAGTCTTCTCTCCTTGTAGTGCCAGGACCAAATTCCTCTGGTGACAACAGCATCAGCTTTGCCATGATAATGATGGCCTGGGTGGTTATTGCACTTGTGTTGTTCTTGCTGAGACCTAGTAATCTAAGAGGATCCAACACAGTTGGAAAGCCAACCAGTCCACATAGCGTAAGTCTGTTTGTATCTTAAAGTGCCTCATGTCTAGGTTCTTTGAAATAATATAGTAATGAACTCTTAAAAGTATACTGCCTTACATTAATTAGGGTGTTTTCTCAAACTGTTTCCTCTACTTTTTATTTCATTATTTTAGTGCTACATTTAACATTAAAAAAAATCAATTTGAAAGTACAGTAGAATACTGAGACAGTCCATAGAAGTTGCTGTGCAGAAGAGCAGAGATAAGGTACTGAGTGTCTGTGATGACATCCTCTGGAATCCAGTAATACTTTTCAACTGCCTTTACTTGGAGTGGCCTTCTTCAGCTTGTAAGGAAGATCAGTCCTGGTAGTACAGGATCCTGGAGGAAGGATAATAAACAGTAGTGTGGGAGGGAATCCTCTTGGGCTCTGAAAAATACCTTCTAGTAAGAAGAAGACTGCTGCTGCTGTGAGCTTGTTTCAAATGTTGAAAGAGATGGAGGAGAACCTTAAAAGCAGGGAGAACATATCTCCTTTTGTCCACTCTTTTGGCAAGTCATGCTTTGTAGACAAGCATTTCTAATCTAATGCTGTTTTCTTGTTCATGCAACTAGGGACAAGAACCACCTGCCCCACCTGTGGACTAGACCTTTAAAATACCGGAAATGTTCAGCAACTAAAATCTTGCACGACCAAATGAACGAAAGTGACTGGAGTACTCCTAAACCCCACTCAATACTGTTTTCCTTTTGCATTTACATAAAGCAAGATGTTATTTTCATAAACTGCTAGTCGCTATTTCACTTTTAAAGTTAATTTTTGCTTTATATGTTATTGCCATTGAATAAGTGATAAGGAGTTACAGGGGTCTTTTGGTTGTTGTAACTGCGGACATTCCACTCTCTTTCTGTTACACTGATCATAATTTCTTTGCAGTGGTTTCTGGCCTTAATTGAAATAAAGTTAAAATCCATGTGCATTTTTATATTCATAGAATGTTATTGATTATTTTTCAGATTTAGTCACACATTCCCCGCCCCCCACCCCCACACACGTTTTTGGAAGTTACTTTATTAGTTGCAATCATTAACTTGAGTGTTTTGTGGTGGAAAAAATTAGAATTATTTTATATTTACCTTGCTGCTCAAAGCAGCCTTTTGTTTAGTCTTTGAACTGAATTTAAATAGTTTTCAGAGTTGTTTGCCAAAGCACGGATCATCTTCTAGAATTAAAGTCCATGTGAGTGTAACCGCTGTCACAACCTTGCCTTAAATATTAGGGACTAAAACAGAATTTTATATCTCCAAACACTGAATTGCGTGTGTCAGTAAATGAGATAAATTAGAATCCAGTATGTTGTTAAAGACGACTAAAACTTGAACAACCATATACTAAACTCTAAAACTGAAGTAATTCTTTACAGACTTGATAAAATGACAAATTAAATGACAGTTATCCTAAACAATTTTCTGTCCTGGATATAATCTTAATCAGTATCTTAACAGTCTTTAGCCCCAATGCATTATCTATTTAACAGGATGAAAACATACCAAACAATCGCCTTCAGGAATATTCCACTTACTTACAAGTTGCTTTTGACTTACATATGATTAGTAATACTTAAAGTTTTGATCTTTTTTTTTTACTGGCGATTTGATTGTACAATAAAAAAAGCAAAGGTGAAGATCTAGGGCATATCTTTTCCCTTTCATGTTTACTTGCGTGGATGTGTGCGCGTATGCATCTTCCATTTTACCTAATGGGAGTGAGGTTTTTTTACGTACATTAAATAATTTAAGAACATTTTAAAGATGTACAGAAAAGTAACATTGTATATTTTTCTTGATCAATTTAAAAAATTGATGAGGATAACATCAAGACACTCTTTTATGTTAGTAGTTGTCTATGAAGCTTCTTTCCATGAAGGTCAGTAAAACCAATCTGTGGAGAGTTAAGGGCCTTATCCTGTAAACCTTTCCTCACGTGAGTCATCTTACTCATGTGAGTAGCCAAAAGGACTCCTAACATTTAATAATGATTTGCATTAATGAGCCTTAGAAGAGCACCTTGTTGGATCCTTTTGTTACCGGATACAAGTTTCTCTTCCTCAGGGTAAATAAATAGCAGGTCAGCCAAACCTCCTTGTAAAAAATATAGCATGGACCTGAAGAAAGACTTCTATAATTTGATGCAACTGATTGTCCATTGAACTTCTCTGGAACAATGTGTTCACAACCTATAGTTGGGAGCACTTGTGAAGTAGTATTGGGCCAGATTCTCTTAATTACATTAATGCCACATGCTGAAGACAGTGGAATTTCAGAAGAGTAGTTGAAAGAACTTATCCTAATGTTAACTAATGTCATTCTAGGTCACAAATATTGTCTAAGGACCTCATTGGGATACCCAGTCCAACTATGCTAGTTTTTGCCTGCCTTCTGCATTTTTGTTTGAGAACTTTAGAACAGGGTAGGTAATATGGCATCTTTTTTTTTTTTTTTTTTTTTATTGAACCAACAAAAAAGTATGCAATCTACCATGTTGGCAGTTTCCTGAGAATAAATGGCCAAAGGTCTTCAAATCTGGGTGCATAAAATTGGACTTCATTTCCATAGTTAAGCATATACCTAGAAGGGGCTTTATTTTAAAGAAACGGAACAATGCTGGTGCCTGTTGAAGTCGGTAAGACTTGCAGGCACTTAGAACCTTTGAAAATCATAATCTTTATATTTAAGTGCCTAAATATGTATTTAGAAGATTAACTTTGTGCACCCAGTTCAAAGATTTTGGCAGATTTATGGCTCGGTGTTTTCTATACATTATGACCAGAAAAATTATTAAGCTGTGTGTTCAATTCATCAACAGGTTTTCTTAAAATTCCTCTCACTTATTTTCTTTAAATTCTTTTAAGTTTGTCCAAAAGGTTTTATATACATATATACTTTCCTTATGAAAATACTGTTTTAAATTTTCTATGTAAAAGAGAAACATTGCAAATCTATTTCAAATGTTTAAATCTATGTAAAATGTTTTAGTACATAGCCAGGCCACTATCCCATGTCACCACATATATCTTCTAAATTCTGTGATACTTTCTTCAATATATAAACTTCTTGTCATTATTACTGCATAAAGTAAAAGTAATTTATTCATATGATTGTATTTTGCTACTTTTATTCATGTTAAATAGTACTTGAGTCAGCAAGCAGTTCCATTATAATCTGTGGGACTGTCCTCTGAATAATGTACTAGCAACTTTACTGAGAGAGGCAAAATACAGCCATAACCAGTATGATATGTGATGAAATATTTATCATGGTTACAAAATTGTACACAGTAAATTTTGAAGAAGCTTGAAAGAAATTTGTGATATACAAAGCTTTAGAATGCGATCAATTGCATATTTAATTACTTTAAACTCAGCTAGTTAAGAGAAACAAGTTTTAGTGACATGAAGAAAGATGAGAGTTTACAGTTATATTTTAGTTTATAACTTTGTTAAAGCAGTAGTATTTTAGAGTCTGCTTAACACCACTATTCTGAAATTAAAAGTTGTGTTATTCATATAGTGTCTGCTGATCACCTATCCTTGTAATGTTCATTATTGAAAAAGGAAAAGTGATCATGTAAATTGGTGGTTTAAAATGTCTGAATCATGCCAAACAAAAAATCGTGTTTGTGCCATTTAGGGTTTCCTGTTAATCTTTTATTGAGTACTTGGATTGGGGAAAAAAGGGCTTGTACTATGCACTTTTTATTGACTTAATGAAATAAATAGCAAACATTAGTAACCTTTTTGTCTTTGTTTGAAGTTTATGATGGATTTAGAATTGCACCAAGGTAACAGAAGTTGTTAACTTTAAAGATCACTACCAATTGTCTAACAGTTTAAAAAGTTCATCAACCAACCAATAATAATAAAAAACCAGAACATAAGTCAAGGATAACATTTGAAAGGACATGGTCAGGCATAAGTTCTAACCTTTAAAATGGACATAGATTTTTCTACATGTGGTGGCTATGGAATCTTTTATCTGGCAAGTTAGAAATAGCACAACAATAGAATCATAGAAAATTAGGGTTGGAAGGGACCTCAGGAAGTCATTTAGTCCAACCTCCTGCTCAAAGCAGGACCATCCCCAGCTAGATCATTCCAGTCAGAGATGATCCCAGCAGGGTGCAGGGCCCAAGGCAAAGCAGCCTGCACGGGGCCTCCCTCCCATCACATGGCATACTTAAGGCCAGGGAGTGAAAGCCCTGGCACACCAGATGTGGTGGGACGGGTGGCAGACGGAACTTCTGGCTGGAGCAGGCAAAGAGCCGTCCAACCTGCTAGAAGGGCGGGTGGGTTAAACTGCAACCATGGCCTCTCTGCCCAGCTCTGCAGGGCCCAGGGCAGTTGCCCCAATTTTCCCCCCACAGGGATGGCCCTGCTTGTAACAAAGGTTGTAAGTTTATTACAGGGTATTATGAGATGTGTTGTGCCTCCAAGTGCATGAGAAAAGAACGCTGGGATGAAAGTTGTATACCTTTCTGGACATAATGGCCATTACATGCATTATACTGTCTGTATTTGTGAAGGAGTGGGCTCCGCGAACTAAGTGGTTCTTTTCAGTCCCATGTTCTGTGGCTGTTTTATAATTGTGGTCCAAATCCTGCTTTCTATAGCCACAGAAACACACTCACGTCAGCAAAATTGCTGAAAGAAGTCCAGGCAGCAAAATGGCTGTTTTTTCAACTCTTAATGGTGTCACAAAGCAGTTACTCCTGATTTTACAGTTGCATCGCATTACTTTAGTATTTAAAATTTCCTCCTTGCTTTTTCTGACATAGTTGTTATGCCCGAAGTGTCTCCTGTTGGGAGATTTAGTAAGTTTCATATTCGTGAAAGTGGTTCTACTGCCCATAGCAGTGCTTCTGATAGAACAGCTTTGATGTCTATAATAATATATATTGGTTTTCAAAAGAACATGGGAAAAACAGGATATTTACTAACAATAGATAAGACCTTCAAATGTAATCATGCCCAGAAGGAAGTGTGAATAATTTCTATGTATGATGAGTGAAGGATTTAAATAACTAATTAGAAGGAAGGTCATTTGCTTGAAAACAAAACTTCATCATGAAAGAATGAATATTGGTGTTAAAAGGGGACTCTCATCAGGATTCTTAGACTTTTTCTTACAATTTTAATTGTTCAAGGTTTGTGGGGGTTGGTATCATTTGTCTTTTTTAATTTTAAATTCATTACTATTTTGAAAGTATAGTAGTACAGAAGCATCCTACTAAGGACTAGACTCTCGTTGTGCTGGTTGTGTATGCGCACAAAGACCCAGTCTTTAGCCACAGGTAACAGGACAGATTTTGCAGCTACCGCAGTCTTGGGACAAGGCTATTCCTCCCCTCCCCACCCCACCCCCCACACACATACTCTTTACTATAGTAAACAGTAATTAATCAAAAATGAATTGGATTGTTTCAGAGTCAGTCGAAAGTCAAAGCTCTGGTAAGTTTAGAAGCTGTAGGGCAGGAGTGGGAATCTTTCATGCACAAGGCCCTATTTATAATATCAACTTTTAACCATGTATTTTAGCATCTATAGTTATGCTTGGCTCTCAGTGTCATTCTTACTGTGACATCTAACTCTGTGTTGCCCTTGTCAGTACACTAACCTAGCCCACAATTGTCTTTATACTGTAACATTAGTACTAGGTTTTCACAGGTAGGCAGAATTTCCCAAACTGTCTGTCTAGTCAGTTGAGCTTGTTCTTCTCAGTTTTGTACCATGGAATAACCATTGCACACAGTCTTGTGTATTAATTACTGCCACCACTCCATGTATATGCCCTGCCACCATTCTACATCATGTCTGGGGCCTATGACATAGCTGCTCTGTTTTCCCAGATTCAAATGTGGTTTAATTACAGTTGCTTAATGGGGGAAAAAAAGGTTTTCTATGCAAAATCCTGTTTGTTGTGGCTGAGGCAGTGACAATATCACAAACTAGTCATAGAAACACAGCTCCATTTAGTGAAAAATCAGCTAACTCTACCAGGTAATCGTATATTAAACAGCAATTAGCTAAAATACAGTCCTTGGAGCAGAGGCAGGAACTCCAGACTGCCCCTCTGAGGTGAGTGCCCTAATCACAGGGCAGTTGTTCTTTGCCCTTCTCTTCTCCTTCTTCCCTGACTCAATTAATTTTTTTTTCTCCTTCATGGTGAAACAGTTTCAACAAGAAGGGATGGTGAGTACCCTCACTCTCATCTAGTTGATAGTCTGGTGGTTAGGATGCACTTCTGAGAGATGGAAGATATGAGTTTCACCCCCTTTCACTGAAGTCTCCCGCTTCTAGGTCTACTGTTCTGACCATTAAGCCATTATCTAAAAAGAGGGAAGGAAGGGAGGCATCACTGTTTGGGGTATTGTTTTTAATAAAAGTTGAAGCAGATGCTGTTGGTGTCTGATATACATGGTCTGAACACATCTGCTGGATCAGTCCTCTCTGGGGGAAATAGATGAGGAAATGAAGCTTGCAGATCTTGATGGGGTTTGTGTGGGAATTAGGTGTAGAAAGGTAGGTGTTCTGTATGTAAAACCTCAGGTAACTATTGACTTTTTATGCATATTACCTTAGGAAAGTGTTTTTTAAGATTTTACTCCTAGACCTGGATGGACTTTCCATCCCCAGGTCCCACTTCAGGTGCCTGTATCTATTTTTTAGTCTGGCTCCAAAATCCCATTATACAGTTCCATGTGTTCATCTACCTTCCTAGGCACCTGAATACATTAAAAATGTGGTCTTCCCAATGTAACTACTTATGGACCATGATTAAGTCACCTCTTAACCTTCTTGAAACCAGCAATTTCTGATTATGTATTGAGTAACTAATCACAATTTCCTGGAGAATGATACAGGCAATTTCAGGGTGTAGGCTGTAGGCTTGTTGGTCTAAGAACATAGGCAGACAAAGTTATTTGGGTAAATCCGATCTCTTTTATTAAACCAACTCAAATAGTTAGAAAAAATCTTCTTAGCAAGTTTTTGGGCACAAATGCCCTTCGTCAGGCTGAGGAAGTGTCTGCAGATGGTCTGTGCTCTTCCTGGATGGAGTAAAGCAGCCAGAGGGCAGTGCATATGCAAGAAAGCCAGTCAGTTTAAAATGTAAATTGAGGTGGTCAGTAGGTGGCAGACAGGTTGGGGAGGGGGAGGAAGGGGGAATGAATGTAGTCAGAGGCAGGGAGACAGGAGGGGGAAGGGGGAAGGGAATGAGAATAGCTGGTTTGTTTTCCAAAGCACAAAGGTTACTTGTGATATAGGTAATTTAATTATTTGTATCATTGACAAACATCCTTGCATGTGACAAATTTAGGATGAATGGAAAAACAATGGATTAACCCTATTACCAACCTTTTTAAAGATGAGTTTTAAATAGCACTGGGAAGCCTACACTGAACAATCAATTGGTAGCTAGAAGTAAGAAGAGTCGCATGGAGAGCTTCTTTTGACCTAGTTAGCAAGGTATGAAAGATTTTGGATGGTGGCAACCCTCTGCAGTTGGTAACAGATTTTAATTAATCTGTTTGCTTGTTAATGCAGCAACTGAGTCTAAGATTTTAGCCAAAGTCAATATTTAATATTTATTTATATTAATTTAACTCTTTGCATCCTAGATTCATTGATTATTAAGCCAGAAAGGACCAATGGTCATCTGGTCTTATCTTACATGAAATAAAGGCCATAGGACTTCCCTGAATAAACACCACCTTGGACTAGAAGTATCTTTTAAACATCTTGCGATGTTCGTTTAAAGATTTCTAGTGAAGGAGAGTTCACCACAATCTTTAGCAAGTTCTTCTGGTAGCTAATTACCCTCACTTAAATATTTATATTTGCAGGCTAAATGCGAGTTAACTGCGTGTTATTGTTGCACCAACACAAAAAAAACCCACCCAAAAAAAACACCCCTAAAAAACCACCCCACAATAGCATATTGGGATGTATTATCCCTATTCAGCACTGGTGGGGCCTCTTCTGTGTAGTATTGTCTAATTTTGGGCACTACACTTCAATAAATACGTGAATTAATTAGGAAGAATCCAAAGGAAACAACAACCAACAAATTATGGAAGTCCAGAAAACATGACATAAAGGGAAAGGTTGGAAGTAATTAAGCTATTTAGCCTGGGGGAAAAATATAGGGGAGAGGTTTGATATTTCTAAATACAAAAAGGGTTGTTATAAAGTGGATGATTAACTATTCTCTCAGTCCACAGTTGATAAGATGAGAAGAAATAATCTTGAATTGCAGCAGGGGAAATTTAGGAAGAACTTTCTATCTTTGAGGAGTTAAAGAATTGGAGCAGATTACTTGAGAGGGTGTGGAATCTTCTTCATCACTGGCAGTTTTACGTACAAGTTAGACAAACACTTAGCTGGGGTAGCTTAGATCAGTATTTCTCAACCCATGGGTCATGACCCAAAAGTGAGTCACAAGAATATAGGAAAGGATCACAAATTTTTTAAATGCATAAAACTTCAAAAGTGGATTTTGATTTCAAGGAGAAAAACGTGGGAAACTATGGCTTTTCCCTTTCATGCTGACAAAGGTCCAGCCTGTGAGGGGCTGCTTGGGGCCCCCTATGCCTCACACCCCTCTGCCCCACATACTAGGGGCCTGGGGGAAGCAAGTTGGGAGTGAGGGTCATTGGGTTGGGACTGGCCATTGGTGTGTATAAATGGGTCCTGGTACAAAAAAGATTAAGAACCACTGGTTTAGATGGTCCTGAA